AGCATTGCTTGCACATGGGGTGGGGGCAGTTCAACAGTTCTGGGCTTGGTGAAGTCTTTAGAGCTGAGACCTTGAGTGAGAGTGAATGAGAGGTTGGTGGCTCTTTGTTTGGGTAAACTGAATGCCAAATCTAAGACTTGAGTAAAGCTAGCTTTGAGAAGTACAAACAGTTCAAAAAGGTCAGTCTGTAAGTGAGAAGAAAGTAAGGTATATAATCCAATCTAAAGGCTCTATGGTAGATATCTATTGATTTTATCTTCCCAGAGGCACATTTCTTCTTCAGGGGATGAAACAGGCCACAGTGTAGGCAACTTGATCAAATTGGGCCAGCCGTTATACCTCCTCACCACCAGTTACTGACCCAAGGATGACCATTGCTAATTCATATGCTGCCTTTCTTTGTGTGAATTTGAAAACGATTTTCCCTCCTGAAAACACTTGACTACCATATAGCAGAAAATTATCATAATATACACATTTTGGGAGAATAACTCATTTTACTGCCACCTGCTGGAAAATCATGGTACTAAAATATATAATTGTATGACTTTTCTATGATAAGAATGGAACAACTGTAATAACAGCTTTGCACCAGACGCAAACACAGTGAACAGCGAGGTTTGTGCTCATGACCTAAGCTAGATCTATCAAAGTCCCCTCCTGGGAGCTTGCTGTGATGACTTCTGTCTTTTCTAGTTACAAAGTTGTGAAGATGTGAGCCTGGACATATGAGTGACCAAGGATCAACTTTACGGAGAAACTGGCCTAAGAGAATGAAGCCAATTCACAAAAAGGGGGTGGCACCCAGGGACAAAAAGAAATAGTGCCAATGGTCCTAGAATGTTTGGCTCCAATCCTACTTGAAGATATTTCTAATCTTGCCTTTCTATGGTTCAGCTATAAGACCATTTCCTTTGTTGACTTATGCAAAAGTTCAGTTTCTGTTACAGGGATAAAAGTCAAGTATACTTCGACTTTGGAGGTCAAGTAACATTAACTGACTATAATTAGGAAAGAAGGCAGGATGAGATATTCTGAGGTAATCTCACTCTGTATAGAGTCATGTGTGGAACTTTTTAGTTCTTCCTGCCGGGACTATGTCTTACTAAATCTAGTGACAGATTTATTCCATAGCGTGGATTCTTGCCTAGAGCAGCCATTTAAAATTATTTGTTGAATTGAATTAATTTCAAAACATATAGAGATGGATAACACTCTATTTATTCATTCATTCTGTTGTCAAGTATTTATTGAGCAGCTACTTTGCAATATACACAGTTCTAATTAGGATACTATAAAGAGTATTTGTATTTAAACTTCCAGAACGCATTACTATTATTTTTTTTTACAAATAACTGTCTATAGTAGATAGTCATCATGCCAAAAGCAGTTGATACATAAAAAGGAAACATTTTACAGACAAGTGAAGACAACTCAACAAAATGTATGAGTCAACACAGGGTCCTAGCTCCCAATTTGTATTCCCTAGATGTGAAACATTGGATATACCATTTAACCTCCCAAGGCCTTAGTTTTCTCATCTATAATGTAAAGAGTTCTAACTAGACGATCTATAAGGCTATTCTGGCTACAAAAAACCCCTAAAGTTTTCGTGTAATCTCTCACACAAGTGGTTTTAAGAGTGTGGTCCTTTACTAGCAGCCTAGAATCTTGTAAAATACAAATTTCAGACCCCAACTCGACCTACTGGATCAGACATCCTGGGAGTGGGGTCCAGCAATCTGTGTTTTAACAAGATCTGATGTATGCTAGCGTTTGGGAACCCCTGCCTAGACATAGGCAATATATTTAATAGCCAATGTATATATGGAGAACTTTTCTAATTTTTCTATGCTGCATTTCACCAACAATGTTTTCTCTCCTAGACTTCCATGTACTTCTCCACCATTCTCCACCCACATCAGCCAGTGAAAACTATTGTGGTCAGAACAAAGCTATCACTTTTTTCTTTGTTTTCAAATATCTCTAATACCTTTATTGGATTTTACAAACAAAAATAAATTCATGCAAAAGAAAATAAAGAAAGAAAACCAAACGTCTCCATTAAGAGTGATGTTCTATTATGTATAGCATCCTTTTTTTTGAGAATCAATGAGCACTATTATAGTAGCATATCAATAAAAGCAACCACCAACAAAATGGGACAAAATATTTTGGGAATATTCTCGAGCTCTTTCTGAAGTGAAGATTATGTCAGTGTCATGGTATTTCCTCATGCAGGTTAATTACTAGCGATCCACTGCAATAGATTAAACACACACATACAGGAGAATACTGGTAAGTGCTTGGAACTGAAAAAACAAATACTAGATGGTCTCCCATAATTATCCAATCCTTCCTGCTGCAAAACTCAGAAAATGATGAATAAAGAGACAGAAAGAATAAAATGCTGGATGCACAATCACTTGTATAAATAACACCTTCCTTTTCTATTTAGAAATCTGTTATCCTGTCTACGTTTATAAGTGATGTGGTTTGAGTATGTGCTCATTTGCAGCTAGCACTAGCATATAAACATATTTATGGACAGATTCATCAGAAATTTTATTAGGTGTCCCTTTTGTTGTGCGGTCCCTATAATTTGGCTTTAAAACATCATACATACTAATCTCTGAGACAGTCCAGGATGAACCAAAGGAATGAATGATTTTTCCATAGTAGTAATACAAAAATGGGAGCAAACAGACTTTCTTTATATCCATGTGTCTTTTTCATTCTGCCCCCTTACCTTTAATCTTTTTAACTCTCTTTGTAAGATTTGCTTCTTTAGGAATATTTTACCTATACCTGCTTAACGACTGGAAGATAGTGGTAGCCATTACTGCTGGCATCCTACTAGCTTTCTCTGTTTGGGTTTGGAAGCCAATTTTAACTTTTTCCCTTTCAGTTAACTCAATATTGTATTTAGATATAGCTAGCTAGCTAGCTTGCTAGTCATTATTTAACAGTAAATGGTGATGTGGATGTGGATGGTATGTTTTAGAGTAATAATTATGATTCAATTTTGAGCCAGAATAGTTTGGTTCATTAATAGCGATGGATATCATAGGAGAACAGATTTTTTTTTTTTTTAATCTTTAGTGAAGGGGATTCAGTGTAGCATGGAAATATTCTTATATTGCAAGAGGATTATTTTGTCAGTGGGAAGGAAAACACCACTTCCTTTCCTCTTCTCCAATATTCTTGCCTAAAATCACTATTCTCTGACTTTTGGGGGCTTCTCTATTCACTTGCCTATTATTGACAGTCAAAAATTCAAATATAGAGGCCAGCACCTTCTCTTTTTTTTCACATTATCTCCTACTATTTCATACCATTCATCTTTCTTCAGATATGAAATAAGACTATCATTAAAGATTAGGAATTTCCAGTGGTGGAGTTTATAAGCCTGATAAAATTATTTTTACTGTTACATCTTTATGAAATAAAGAAGAACCTGCAGAGATAAAAGAACTTAAGAAAAAAACCCCAAAAAACTATTCTTCCTACCTTTAGAGAACTCACGTATATTACTTACTTAACACTTCTAATCATTTCTTCTCTTTTCTCCTCGCCAATTTGTTTAGTGCACACTGGTTCTCTTATTCTTTCCTTAATTTTCTTCTGGCAGCTTCTGCTTTCCACGGTTCTTCTTCCTCTGATTTTTCAAGGCTGCTATTCTTTTGACATCATTTCTAAAGTTTTGTTTTTTCTTCTATTGTCTCTGTCTTCTATATTTCAAAGACGACTTCCAAAGATTTTGTCAAGACGAATTTTTCGGAATGAATAGAGCGAATATGAGGAGCTTAAGGAACTGGGAAGAGGAGAGCTGCCAAGATTGTCTTCATGTATGTATATATGTATGTATGCATGTTGGAGCAACCTGGGGTGTGAGAGCAGGAAACAGAGAGCCCTGCTAAGGCATGACCAAAATGGGAAGCCTGTTAAAATAATGTTTTGGAGCAGTGTGTGCTGAAGAAAATAAAGTAGAGCCAGCCGGCCAGGCCAGTAGCTAATAGCCCATGGGTTTGCTACTAAGGAAATTAAAACTTTAGCTAATGAGAATGGTAGCCACCTACTGAGAATGAAACAGAAGCCTTCCTATTAACTCCCCTCGCTGGGTCCTTTTGATAGAATAGTCAGAAAGTTATTTCCTATTTATTTAGTAGCAAAAGGCTTGAAACGGAGGGGAAAAAAAGAAAAAGAAAAAAGTTGGCGGCAAACTCTTACTCAGCTCCCTCAAGAGGAGATCCAGACAGGGTACTTCCCCACCTCTGTCCAAATCATACATCAGCATAGGTCACGAAAAGAGGAAGGACAGCTAGAAAAAGGAACGGGCGGGGGGAGGGAGCTGTTCCAGATAAGTACAGCCAAGATGACTCAGACAATCTCCCAGGGGATTTTTAGTGTGGGACTTCAAGTTAATAAATCCGCTCTTAGCTTTGCGGGAATCAGTAGGGATAGGCTATCTTCAAGAATACTGGTTGACTATCACGATTCCAGGGGGCGAAGGGTTGCTATTTATGCAATTCTCTCTCTTTTTTTTCTGCAGAAGTACGAACACCTCTATTTGACTCGCAGGTCGCTAGGAGAATGACTGCAGGCCTTCCGGACATACTTTGGTCCTGAATAAACATTAAGGGTCGCTTTACGGATCCTAAATCCAACTCCTGATCCTATTGTGGTTCTTTCTAAATTAATCAGAAAGCGCGGTGTGGATCCAGGTCTCTGCTAGGGGGTGAAGCCGAAGGAACACAGGCTAGCTGTGAGAAGACATACAATAGGCTGCGACGATGAGGGCATTTCAGGATTAAGACGAGGGGACACGAACTTGCCTCGCCGCTCCCTGAGGCCCAGGTGTTGCGGGAGGCGTCCCGGAGGCTGCGCGCGGGACCGCAGCGGACAGCCCCGGGCAGCGCGGCCGGGGAGCGAGCGCGTGTGTGCGCGAGAGCGGCGGGCGGCGGCGGCAGGAGGCGCAGGCGCGCTGCTGGCGCGTCTGCAGCCCCGCGCTGAGCGCCGCGTCTCGGGGAGTTGATGGCAGCACCACAGTGCGGCCGCTCGGCCGAGCGCCGAGCGCAGCCACCCTCCGCTGCCCGGGGAGCATCCAAGATGTGGCGGCCTCGGGGCGGCAGTGGCCGCAGCAGAGCCAGGGACGGGGGCGCGCAGCAGCCTCCGCTCGCCCGCCTGTGCTGACCTGCCTCGCTTGCCCCCAAAGAATGTCAGCCAAGTCCAAGGGGACCCCCTTCTCGTCCTCTCCTGCCGAGGGACCGCCGGCAGCCTCCAAAACCAAGGTGAAGGAACAGATCAAGATCATCGTGGAGGATCTGGAATTAGTCCTGGGCGACCTGAAGGACGTGGCTAAGGAACTTAAGGAGGTGAGAGGCGCACGGGTGGGGAAGGAGTTCGTCGCCTTTTGCTCCCTCGGGGTTCCGGGTCCTGTTTTAACTGGGGACCGCCAGATTTCTTAACTCCCAGGAAACTATAGAAAGACGCCTGCAGATGGACTTTCTTTGCTCTGGCTACTTCTGAGAAGAGTTGTTGCACTTTGTTTTTTCAATCAGGAAGAAATCAACTAGTGTTTTAATCGATGGACCTGGGATGGTGGGAGGGGTGAACGCGCGCGTGTCGCTGTATGTGTGTGTGTAATGTCGGAGGAGGGGGTTAACTGGGGGTGTGTCGATAGAGGAAGAAATGAACATCCCAGCCGGCCGGAGCGTGCAAGATGCTCCTCTCCTGCCCTCTTACTCCCCTAGAGTCCTTTGGCAAGTCGCTCCTTGCCTAGCAGCCTCTCCAAGCCAGGGCAGAAGAGGGGCCGGGTTCCGGGCCCTGGGCCAGGCCGGGGAGGGCAGCCTGGGGGAGCTCAGCTCCGGCTCCCCTCCCGGTCTCCCAAGCCCCGCTGGAAGGAAGGCGACCTGGCTGGTAGCAGAGAGCTCAGACTTGGGGATGTCGAGGGGTCTGGGACTTTCTCACTTTCTCAGTTCCTGAAGCATCCCCTGCTCTCTTCTGAACGTCGCTCCCAGTAACTCTGGGCCTTCCCGTCACCCTACCTCCTTCCTTACTCCCATCTTGTCACCACTTGGCATTGAACCTGGGGAGCAGGGCGCGTCGGCGTGTGTGTGTGTGTGTGTGTGTGTGTGTGGTGTCCATGCACCAGCCAGGGTCTTGCCACTTGAGTCCTGGCTCTTGGGAACCGGGACTGTTTTGGTTCTTTCCAGCTCCGGCTCCCCCGCTCCCCGTTCCACTAATGCACTCCCCGCCTGTGATCCGTGATCCATGATCCGGATAGAAAAGAAGCTGAGGCAGTGTCACGGCTGAGGCTGCGTAACTCAGGCTGCCGCTTCAGGCGGGGGAGAGGGCCAGGTTGGGAGGAGGGGGGCTCCCGTGAGCCCGACTGGCAGCTGGTGGCGTCGCGGAGCTGGTGGCAGAGTCCGAGCCGGCTGTTCCACTCTCGAATGGGCTCCTGGTGCGGTTCTCGGTCAGGCAGTCCCCACCCGCAGTTGCTGGAGAGCTAAGACTGTAACTTCGAAGGTGGTGGTGGCCGCGGCGGGAGGGGAAGGGGTGGGGCGTGGTCTAGATCCAAAATTGTAATCCTGTTTCTGAGGCCAAGAGGGAGGAGATTGAGGGTTGTTTGGATGTCTGTCCTCTAGAGATTAACCTCCTTTTCCCAATTTCCAGTCCAAAAGTGAAGAAAGAGTGCCCTGCTCTTTCTCCACCCTCTCCCCGGTTCGTTACCTCTATGAACGAACTAAACTCCGCATTTGTTACCAAATGCAAATCTGTTAAAATGGCCCATTCATTGCCAGGGTTCGGTTTGCCAATGGCAAATGTCATTTCTGTAGGTTGCTCCACAGACAGAACGTAATTACTACTGAGGTCCTGAGAGTGGGATTAATATAAATGATCGATGTGAGGATAAAACTTGTTCGTGTTTGAAGGCTTTCTCTAGGATCATTGCTTCACAACTGGTTGACAGATGGTGAGGTTGTGCATTGAAATTCAACTCTAAAGATGCTGTTCGTTTCTTTGTTATCCTTTTATTTGACATCCTTGGCAGGCTGTGTTTTCCTCTGAAACATTATGGCGTTTTAAAAAATGAACAAATTTGGGCATGTTCCTTTTGGCAGAATTGTGCTTTGTAGTTGTTGAGGTTTCTAAGGTGGGGGATGTGGGAAACCTGCATCAGTACAGTAACGTATAGATTGTGTTAAATAGGAGGCTGAGATTAAGAGAAAGGTAGTCAATGAAAACTCAGCATCTGTGGGCACATACATCCTTATGATGTGTCACTCCGCTCCCTATTTTAGACAAATAAATGACAAGAAACTACATATGATCCTGGTTCTGCTTTGCATCCTTATTCTGTAGACTTTTGGAGACCAAGTAGATCTCTAGAGAAACTTTTAACCTCCCTGTGGCTCTTCATTAGAATTACAAAGAAGTAAATCAGGGAGTCTGTGGATCTCTCTCCCTTTCACTCCTTCTGTGTCTTTATTTACTTGAGAATTTTTAAGGAAAAAAACCCAAACAGGTGGTTTATAAAAGGAATAGGAAAGCATAAACAGTGTACAACCACTAAATGAAAGGATCTGTCTTCTAGACAGATCTAGAGAGAAAATTTTGACTAGATGCTTTGGAAGCTTTGATTGGCTGTCAGGGCCTGTTTGGGTAAAACTCTCACCCTGAGAGTGAAATTTATGAATGATAAATGATGTGATTTGATTGTTAGTTATTTTTGTGAAGATAGCATCATTCTAGGTTTGCATATGGAGCTGGATATACTATGGCTGAATCTCCAAATATTAGCCATTTATATGCTATGAATGATAGCTATTTTGAGAACAAAATATTTATAGGGCATGTTTAACCTATGACATCTTGCAGTTGTCCAGCATTTATCTTTTTAAGATAATACTGTACATGTGACTGAACATGTCTTTAATGTAGTTTTGAGTGAAGGAGTAATTGAAAACTTTGAAAATTACAAACCTTGTTGGTCTCTATGCCTATACCTTATAAATATAAATATCGCTATTAATTCATCATATATTACATTCAATATTCTGGCAATTTATCATTGGTATATGTTAAATATAAACTGTTATGTTTAAAATCTAATTTCTTTATTTGCAATGCTGTGCTTTTAGGCCATAATATATTTTGATATAAATTAGCAGAGAGCTGTTATTCACTTGGAACAGAAATTAGAAATCAAAAAGTGATTATTATTAGATTACTGTATAAGACACCATATGGTATTTGTTTTTCTTTTCTGCTTTTTTCATTCTAACTAAAATGCAGTATTCTTTCTTGAATATTCTGTTCTTTACTTTTGCATAAGGTCTGTGCCAGCAATATTGGACTTTTGTTTGAAGTTATTTTGACATTGCCCTTTTTTTTAGACATGTTCTGGACTTTAGTCATCAGAAAATTCAGGTTGTGGGGTAGAATCGAGCAAATCAGTAGTTGCTTGAAACACTTTAATAATTAGTAGCAAAATTCTATTATTATTAGAGGTGTCTTTTATGATTATTTAGTTATTGTTTAATCATTTATAATTAGATTATATATTGGAAGAAGAGGGACAGGATTTCTAGAAAGTCTAAGGACAGTTTTATTCTGTCCTCAGAATTTAGTAAAACCTTAAATATCTTTCGACTTTTCAGAAATAATATGGATCTTTTGGTCTTCCATACTATAATGGAAAAACCCTAAGTATAATTTGACATATTTATTTAGCACCTACTATCTGCCAAGTACTATATTATCTTTTTATTGCTACCAAGATGAGTACGTTGTAGTTTCTGGTCTCAGTGAGCTCACAAGGTTAGTTTTGGATGCATTTATCCTGTCTTTGAACATCAGTAGTGTAAAAAAAGTGTTACTTTTTCTAGTGGCCACTCTCACTGTGATCTCATAGCCTTGGGGAAAGAAAGCAGAATTGAGAATAGGAATGAGTATTTGTAGATTTATAAACCAATGCTTGCTATGTCCCTAGTAGTATGGTGAACCTTTGGTGAAGAGAGTAGAAGCTTAAACACGATGGTAAGATATGAATGTTAAGAAACTTACAATTTATTCAGATTGTCATTATTAACATAATGGATCAATGCCATCTGCAGGAGATCATATTTCCGAGTGTTACAACTAAATATTAGAGATGTTCATGAAGGGTAAGTCCTTTGAGGAAATGAAGAGTCAAAAAGGAAGATTTTGGATCTTTCTTTGAGACGTGGATAAGATTTGAAGAGGTAGAGAGGAGAAGGAATTAACAAGAAATAGCATTGGAATACAAGATCAATCCATGTTGCTTTTTTTCTACACATTGAAAAAAAGTAAAATAGTGGTGAAAATCTAGAGTTTTAGGGATAAAATTAACCATTACTGGCTTATTAGATATGGGGTAAACATTTTTATTAAGAAATGTAGAAAAAAGAGCTATTGATTTTTAAAAATAGTTGTTAATCTGACATCTTTGGGTACCAATTTGCCTATTCTTTTATGAAGATTTCACTGGCAAACTGTTCTGCATCAAATGGTCGTGTTAATGTGGGATCACAGCTACTGTTGGTTAGAGAGAGATTGGAATATGTCATAATAGTGTTCTGTTTGGAAACAAAATTGATTGCTGCTTTAGCTGGATTCTCTTTTAATTTAGACTGATTATAACCTTGAGCATTTTTTGTAGTGTTTCATTTTATGATTTTAAGTAACAAGACTGCTATATGGATTTAAAAAAAATATATATATATATAAAATTTTTTTTTCTTTTGCTAAGCTTTGCTGCATAGACACGACTCTCACGGAGGAACGAGTTAAGATGAGTTGCTCTGTTAGCGCCCTGGAATCAGTGAGAGATTGGACTCCATGGGTGGGAAGGTGTGTGAGCATTGTGCTTGTGGATTGGAAAGCACCCATGATTTTTCTTATAATGTCATAAACAGAAATAAGTTAAGCTTAAGTTTAATTTTGAAGAGTTTGAAAACTCATAGGAAATGATCCATTTGGGCATTGATGAAAACAGAATTAACAGTTATCTGCAAAATATTTTTGTTTTTAAATGTTTTCCTCTTCTTAATGGCTTATCCACTTGAAGCTCTGTAGTTTATTGCTCTAGGAAATCCTACCAAATACTTCTTGGTTAATGAGTCCGTGTATATAAAATTCATTACTAGAACAAATTATAGAGGACAATCTCTGGAGTATTTTCCAAGTTCTAAAGTTGTGAATGAATGAAATTTCACAATTCATTCAATAGTAGAAATAGCTGTACTTTTACTAGCTATACAGCAGTCTGGCTCCCCAAACTGAAGTGTATCTACCAAATGCTAAAATGTTTTTTAATTTTTCTTGCCTTAAGCATGATGGCTTAGCATGT